AGGCTTCCTCGGGGTTTTTATTTTTCCGTGTCTCGCGGTGAAAGACCTATTTCATGGTTAGGGAAGGTGTTTTTAGGGAAGGAGCTTGCTCTGGATGCCCGGTGACCGAGCTGCTCGCCTGGCGGGCACTGCCGAGCCCGGCGATCCCAGGCCCTAGGCAAGACGACTGTCAAGTTGATGATCGATCATGACGCTTTCAGTCACCATGTCAGAGTCAACTATAGGCAGTGATCGGCAGTGCAGGAGTAATCTGAGTGAATGGAAGTCTTCAGAGCCTGCTACCTTGGGGAAGAGCTGCTTGAAAATCATCTTGATCAATTAGTGTATTATTGCAGACATAGAAGAGAATCACTATTTGCTTTAAGTTTAAAACCACAACCCCCTGTAACCTTTCAGGCAATTAGTAGTTTGAAATTCAGTAAATCATTTTTATCAGCTGGTCTTAAAGTGGTACAAAATTGTCACTGAAGTTGCAGCCTTCCAAACAGTGGAAAGCTGCCAGTTGTTACAATTCTTCAGCATCATTATACTCTTTTTAGTTCATATCAGTCCAAAATGTGTGTGTAGCCTTAGGTTTATCTTAGGTAGTTTAGCATTAACGCTGCTCAAAATCGCATCTCGCTGCTCATAGAACTTGCTTGCATCTCCTTACCTAAGACTGAGGCTTTTCTCATCTAAAGATATCCTGGTGCAGTAGGGCTAATGGTTGAACTCAGTGATCCTAGATGTCTTTTCCAACCAAAGTGATTCTATGATGTGTCCTTTTGACTAGGAGGAGATTGTTGCATGAGACGTTCCGTAAAGTAACACAAATTGTTGCCTATGAACAGTGTGTAGGAAATCTTAGGCTGTGTGGCCCAAAAGTAACCTCTGACTTTAAACTATCTTGGGTATTGTATTTCTCAAATGTCAGGCTAGGAGAGAACCTGTTATAGAATAGCAGTTTGGGAGTGTTGATGTGTGCATGTGAAACAGCGGCAAGGGGCTTTTTGCACTGTCAACCTACTCTGTAAACAGGAAAATTTGTTATACATTTTTTTCCTTCTGTTTCCAGTCCATACTGTACTTACGCTGTACTAGCTGAATCTCTGTATGTTAAGAGCAGATAAGAATTTAATTTAAAAAAAAAAGGAAAAGCAACAAAACCATAAACATTTGTCTTTTGATATATAAAGCTTTGACTTAAAGGGCATGTCCAAATTGAATTTTACTTGAGCTTTTCTTTAAGCATGTTCTTTGTGTATTCACTTTGTCTTTTAACTAATTTCCACACAGTAAAATTCCTTGAGGTAATCAAGCCCTTCTGTGTTATCTTGCCTGAAATCCAAAAGCCAGAACGGAAGGTACGTTAATAACATTTTCTTCACAAGTTTTTGTCTGTGTAAGAGAGAATGTTTACAGCTTAGTTTGCGTTAGTGGGATTTGGGATTTTTTTCTTGTTGGGAGAATGGCAGTTTGAGGCACGATTGTTTTTAGTGGGGTGCTTGTCTGGTAGGTGCTGTATATATCTGCTGGTCAGTGCAGTTGTGAAGATATGGTTATGCCGTGGCAGTGAGCAGCAGTACTGTGGCAGTGAGTGCAGACTGCAGTACTTTAAAACAGCAACTTGAAAATCTTTGCTTCTTAATTCTAATCTAAGATTATTTGCTAAAATAAGCATCTCTGAATTATTTTTTTTCCTCACCAGAAGCTCTTCCTTATCAAACTGTAAGACTCATTTCTGTGGAAGTACTAGCATTACCTTCCATTGACGTAATATTGCTTGTTTGGGATTAAAGTGTCAATAAAACTTTGTCATTTTCTGTGGCCTTATATAGTATAAAAGGGAGGAATAGTGAGTGATTCTCTTTAGGATGTCCTGCACTTTGTCCTTTCACAAGAATATCAAGTGTATTTGAGCTACTATGAAAGTTTGCCTGAATGACTAGATCTTGTTACCTTGACAGATTTCTCATCTTTGTTGGGTTTTGCTTTTGTTTTTCTCCTTTAGATTCAGTTTAAGGAAAAGGTGCTATGGACAGCTATCACACTCTTCATCTTCCTCGTATGCTGCCAGGTATGGGTTTTCCTCTCGTTTTGAGGGAAGAGCTGAAATGTTTAAAGGAGGGTACGAGGTCTCCGGTTTAATCCTGTTTTCCTGTGTTGGTTGGAAATGCAGATTCCCTTGTTTGGTATCATGTCATCAGACTCAGCAGATCCTTTCTACTGGATGAGAGTCATTTTGGCATCAAATAGAGGTATGGCCAGGCTTTCAGGAGGGTGTTTTTTTTAGATTGAATGGGAATATTTTGGGGCTTGTTCTTACATCACACTCTTACTTTAACGAAGATAAAAACTGATGTAGAGAGGGGCAAAGTAATTTTCTATATTATGTACAATCATAAGCCAGTGTGGCATTGGGAAAGGCACAACGAAGGATAAAATGAGTTTATATACTATATGGACAAAAATCCAGGAGCATTTTGTAGGGAAGAGACAGTTCGGATCTTCTGTGTATATTTAAAGCTTTTTTGTGTTTCAAACAGTATTTTGTGTGTGTTGTGGTTTTCTGGGTGATCATCTTTGAGTCTCTTTCATAGAAGATTAAACTTCATGATAGTTTGTATAAATTTCAGTTTCTTGCAGAGATTTTTCTAATGCAGGTATGTATTAAGAATGGGGACAGTTGCCTTAATTCTTTTTGTTATGTATCATTTGTGATGTCTGTCAGTTTATATCGTAATGAGACATACATAAACGCATGCATGCAACTTCGTGCTCTCCTGAAAAAAGTTTGAATTTTCATGTTTAAAATTAGGAATAATATAAATTTTTGCAGAAAGCAAATTTTTACTTTGCTTTATACAGAGTAAATACATTCCTCACAGCAAAAGTCTTTTTCAGCAAACATATTTTTTAAGGTGTTGAGGAGTACTGCATTGTTTGTCAGACTTTTAACAAGCTTCTGTTACCATTTAAACCTTTTGTATTTATGGCAGTCGGGTGTTTTTTATCTTCTCCATTGTGATGTGAAGGGCAGAAAAAGCAAATTTTGAACTTCAAATATACCTGGGTGTGGTTCACCCCATTATTTTCTGCCGTTTGTCTGGCAGGTACATTGATGGAACTGGGCATTTCACCTATTGTCACTTCTGGGCTCATCATGCAGCTCTTGGCAGGTGCTAAGATAATTGAAGTTGGCGACACCCCAAAAGACAGAGCTCTCTTCAACGGAGCACAGAAATGTGAGTAACAGCTGATACTAAAGGCTGATGGTTTCAATTATCTAACCCTAACAATAGAAAGTGTAAACTTCCCATGTGGTGGGTGTTGGAGTTGGATATATGGGTTTCTGTCCTGCTGTGTATTCGTGTTGTGCTCCAGATTTCTGTATTTCATCAGTCTGTTACTGACTCTTCTCTGGCTTGTTAGCTGTTAAGCTTCAGAAAGATTTGAAAAGGAAAAATATCTGTACAATTGGCGTTGCTGCTATAATCTCACCACATAAATATGCAATACATAGATGGTGGGGACCCAACCTTTAAACTGTGTTGGTTGGTGTTAGCCTAAAAAAAGTCGATAGTGGTGAAGGTGTTTGTTGTAGTTGTTTTTACCCTGCAGTTTCAAGCATGGCTCTTTCTCAGCAATAAGAGTGTTAAGTTGATAAATTCCTTGTAGAAAAACTTGAGTATTCTTTACCTGTTCAGTGCTGTACAACACTGCTTATTGCTCTGTTTACTGGGAAAAAAAAATCATAAATTGCTAAGGTAGTACCTTAACACCCTCGGAGTTTTCAGTACGTAAAGCAATCTGTGGTAAGCAAACCCACTTGCTTCCAAGTGTTTCTTTCTGAACTGTCTGTGAGTATTTGTATTCAGTGCCAGACTTCAGGCCACAAACATAACTCGCCCTTGAATTTAAAAGTCCTGTGATTTATGTATTCCTTCCCAACTTTCTCTGCAAAGAAATTATTTAGATTTCTCTAATTACCCACTGACCTAATACATACAGAACAAATACCTGCTTCTTCCTTTTTATTCTAGTGTTTGGAATGATCATTACCATCGGACAGTCTATTGTCTATGTAATGACTGGAATGTATGGAGACCCCTCTGAGATGGGTGCTGGTATCTGCTTGCTTATCACAATTCAGGTAATTTTGAGTACTCCACTTACTCTCCCTCTGAAAGGGTCAAAAAATCAGCTGCCTTATGGACTGCCTCCCCCACATGCAGAGGAAAAAGGTCAAAGTGTGCCTGATTCCTCATACGTGTGTGGGTGTATATATATATTTTTTTCCTTAACTTTTAATAAAAGGGGTTTTCTTTTTTAACAAAAATTAAAAAGGGATGGAACTAATGATGTATTTCTTTTTTTTCTGTAGCTTTTTGTTGCTGGATTGATAGTTCTGCTCTTGGATGAGCTCTTACAGAAAGGGTATGGTCTCGGCTCTGGCATCTCTCTCTTCATTGCCACCAATATCTGTGAGACCATTGTGTGGAAAGCATTCAGCCCCACCACGGTGAACACAGGACGAGGTAACACAGCATTGACCATTCTCTTTACAAACATTTTCTACAAAAAGGCAAAACCTTTTTTGCAGTGTATTAACTTAAATGGCAAATGCTGTTACTAGCATCTTAGCTGTGTATTTGCCACGTAGTAAATCTTGTTAATACAGCAAGTGCTCCTATGCAAGGTGCAAGTACAAAGACATTCTTTCTAAGTTTGTAGTATCTCACAAGATAGTTTCTGAACTTGAATTTTGTACAGCATCTCCATTAAAACTCAGTAGTGGTAGACTGCTGTTGTATTACAATTGCTGCCCAACTTACTGACAAGTGCCATCAATTTTTCTGCTCCTTGCATTTCTTACTCATTGCCCCAAAGACCTTCACTTTCTAAACCTGACAGGTGATCTTGGTTGGTGCTGTGTAATACAAAACATAAGTGAGATTATCACGTTTGCTGTCATGCAAACAATACCTAGTGTCTCACTATGAATGATACTAGAAGGCATGCTGCCTCTTCCTTTTTTGTTGGTGGGGAGGAGGAAAGGCAGAAAGAACTTTGGTGAATGTCAGTGTTTCTAGAGACCAATAAAGTTATCCCATTTGATTGTTGGGTTATGATACAGTTTCTAGGCCACTACAGGGGAATTTTAAAAAAATCTTGGACGTAACACCTGATATAACAGCTGATATGAAGGATGACAGTAGTAAAAGTGTGAGAGCTTGTTCAAGATGCAACAGACTGGGAGAAATCCTGAATTCTGTAGTTCAGAAACATGCCTAATGAGACAAAGCACTGAAATTTGGAGATAATCTCAGTACACCTAATGTGTTTTTCGTTTTCCTTTCCAAGGCATGGAATTTGAGGGAGCCATCATTGCTCTGTTCCATCTCCTGGCTACTCGTACAGACAAAGTCAGAGCCCTGCGTGAGGCCTTTTACCGTCAGAACCTTCCCAACCTTATGAACCTGATTGCCACTATCTTTGTCTTTGCTATTGTAATTTATTTCCAGGTCAGTTGGAATAGAGAGGGCTGTAAAGCTGTATGGAAGTAGATCTGTAATCTGCTTCCTTCTACAGGAAATTGTATTTGCAATTTTTTAGTGCCTTTGTAAGTCTTATTTTTTGTACCTGCAACATCTGGATACTCTTAATACTAGCTTCTCTTAATTAGTTTTTACTCTTACTGTAGACATGCAAAATATTTGAGAGCTACTTTGATGTCTGAAAGAAAACCTGATGAAAGTGTGCATGTAATGCAGCCTAATCCATATGCTACTGTTTTTTGTTGGAAAACACTTCGACAGTCTTTAAGGCTGTCTGTCACTGTCTGTTGCAGCAAACTGCTGAATAATATAAAAAGTTTTAATGTTTCTTTTCCTGGACACTGCTCAGTCTTCTTGAAACTTCAGGTTTCTTCTGATGTCTGTCATAGAGTCATTTAGGTTGGAAAAATAGCTTTAAGCTCATCAAGTCCAACCATTAGTGTCTTTCGTACCTTCTTATATGTCTGTGTTTAGCCAACCCTAAAGGCTTGCAGGCCCTTTGCAGAAGTGTTCATGTGGGTATCTCTCTGGGTAGAGGCTGTGTACTTGCACAAAATGATTGCAGGTTTTTTTCTGTTGCTGTCAAGGCCTTGCTCTTGCTATTTATGCCCGAGGATACAGGGCCGTGTCCAGAAGTAATGGGGAACTTTTCTTTTGGAAACTTTTCAGGGCTTCAGAGTGGATCTTCCTATCAAGTCTGCTCGCTACCGTGGCCAGTACAACACATACCCTATCAAGCTGTTCTACACTTCCAACATTCCCATTATCCTTCAGTCTGCCCTGGTGTCGAACTTGTACGTCATCTCCCAGATGCTTTCTGCCCGCTTCAGTGGCAACTTACTGGTCAGCCTGCTGGGCACCTGGTCTGTGAGTATCCCTTCTGGTCTGTCACTCAGCTTTGTAAGAGCACCAGTAAAACACCTGCGTGGAGGTGCTCTCTAAATGCCAAGACACGCTTCTGCAGGTGTTCATGTACACTGAAACTCTTAAATTCATTTAACTTAACAGCAGGGTATGGGTCCTGCTGTGGTGAGTGTAGATATTAGGTCTCTGCGTTTTACTTTGGTTTGCTTCTTGCTGTCCTAGGTAGTTTTGGTGTTCTTACTGTATTCCATTTCCGCTTCAGAAACTGCTTGTGATAGTGAAGTTGGATCTTTGTGTGCTGCTGTAGTGACAGCAAAGTGATTCAAACCCAGGCTTAGCTTAAGGGCTAAGAAACAGTGACAAAGTTGGTGACATCTTGCTTCCTTCTTCTAGGACACGTCATCTGGAGGCCCTGCTCGTGCTTATCCAGTTGGGGGACTTTGTTACTATCTGTCACCTCCAGAGTCCTTTTCTTCAGTGTTGGAAGATCCTGTACATGCAGTTGTTTATATTGTATTTATGTTGGGCTCCTGTGCTTTCTTCTCTAAGACATGGATTGAAGTCTCTGGCTCCTCTGCCAAAGATGTGAGTTTAAAATGATGAAAACAGGTTTTGCAAGAATAAGACTGACTTTCTTCTGAAAGAGCTGTTATACTGGTTATCTCGATAATGGTCATAATTTCTATAAATAGTGCCTGTCTTTTTTGTAAGTGGGGAGGGTGAGGGCAGAATGGGGGCAATTTTTTCCGTGTTTCTTACTTTTTTCAAAAATGTCACTCAGATAATTGCTTTCATTAGCACTGGGAAAATTTGGACATTGCTATGTAACTTCTGATCAGTGTGAGGACAGGCAAGGTGACAGGAAAGGTAGAAACTCTCCCAGTGCCAAATGGCAGATCCTTCATTTGCAAGACAGTTGCTGCTTAAGAACTCGCAGGTAAAGCTTGACTACCTGTGCCTGGCATAGAGTTCTTAACTTCTTTTGGGGGAAGATGAACTAGAGGTTGTTAATTTTAACTTGGGAGCACTGATAACAGGGAATATAGGGCAGTGCATTAATGTATCTGAGCCTAGCTTCTCAAACTTTCTGTTAAATGTTGGAAAGGATCTTGAATATTCAGCATCTATTCTGTTCTGAAACTGGAAAACAAGATGGAGAATAGTTGTCATCATGGTATGTTTGCATTGTGTTGTTTTGGGTAGGAGGTCAAGTTTGGCAGCCATATGGAATGGTTTAATCCATTCTTTGACAAATATGTAATAGCTGCACAGTTACTGTAACAGCATGAGCACTCTCTAATTTTGGGCCTGCATTTAGCTGCTTGTCAAGCATGCAGGGAGGCACTTCTAGCCATGTATAGACAGTTTTTGATTTCACTGTAAACCAACATGCAGCTTTGAACACTTCAGTATAGTATTCTGATAATAAAATCCTTTTCATTTCATGTAAACAAGGTCAGAAATAAAAATTGATGAACTGTTACTGAAGTGTTCACTATGTAGTGGAAAACTAAAAACAACATCATCAGATTTTTTTCTCAGCACATTAGATTCAGTGACAAGGGCCTTCAGAAGTTCCCCTAATAGAGTTTCAGTTCCTCTCAGTTGTAAGCAAGATGTTTGCAGGGCTCTTATCATAACCTGTATGACTGCAGAAATCAAATTTAAGTATAATATTCCAAGAAGGGATTCTTCCTAAGTCATAATAGTTTCTAATATGGCCCCACAAATCCTTAGCTCAAATGAATTTGGGTAATTGAAGTGGAGTGGACAATTCATAGGGTGGTTTTGCTAACAGCTACTAAACCCTAACCAGGAGAAAGGTTGGTGGCAAAACAGGACTTGAATTATGTGCACAAGAGCCTACCAATTTCCAGATATTCCTTTTCTCAAAAGGACTAGAGTTATCTAAAAAGCTTCATGTAACTGACAGTGTGGAAAAGTGCCTTTGACTGCACTGAAGTTAAAATGCTGGATATTTTAAACTCAGATGAATAATACAAAAAAAACCAAACCAAATTTAAAAAGCCAAACCCACCACCGCATAGTGAAACTTCTTGCTTCTGTTTTCCCATCGTAGTAAGTTCCATGGCCTTGACAAATGGCACTAAACTTTCTCCATTCCTTGGTTCAATACAGGTTGCCAAACAACTGAAAGAACAGCAAATGGTGATGCGAGGCCACAGAGAAACTTCAATGGTACATGAACTGAACAGGTAAGCTGTACACTCCACAGGCTCTTTCTGCAGTCTTGTGGGGAAACGTAGTAAATTTTGCATTGACTTCTGTTCTCTTGTCTTGCTTCTGAGACAAGTAGTTACTTAAATCTGCTAGGTACAGAGGCAGGCAGGAGTTGTCTCTCTAGGTTTTCTAGTAGCAGGGTAGGACCTGTGCACCCTTGATGTTACGGAAATGTTACCATAACTTTACATTTCAGTCATCTGCAAATGACTTGAAGAGCTAGGAGCCACAAGCTTAATCTTTATGCCTAATTGCAAGGCAGACTAATACCTTCTCTTCTTAGCTTAGCATTTTTTCCCTCCAGTCAGGTTGAGCTTTTTTTGTTTCCTTAGTGTATGCAGTGCACTGGCACTATTGCCTGTTCCTTGTCTTGGATTGTAGACCCATGAGAGAAAAGAGTGTTCTGCCATTGGCTTTCTTCCATTCATGTAATTTTGTTCTTGGTTTTTTACCACGTGGATTGATTATCTGCTCTGTGTTCTTTCTGTTCTCAGTGGGATTGGTTTTCTAGGGAAAATCCTGCCTCTGATTTTTAGATACTTCCCATAGATCCCATATAACACCGATTCCAGTGTATTTGTGACTATCCCGAGCAAACTCTGATGACAGCTTTTCTGTTCTGTTTACAGGTACATCCCTACAGCTGCTGCATTTGGTGGTCTCTGTATTGGTGCTCTCTCTGTGTTGGCAGACTTTCTTGGGGCAATTGGGTCTGGAACTGGAATTTTGCTCGCTGTCACTATCATTTATCAGTACTTTGAAATTTTTGTAAAGGAACAGAGTGAAGTTGGCAGTATGGGAGCTCTTCTTTTCTAAACCTAGCTTCTCATGGACCCAGGAAAGAGGGGAGGAACATTCTCAAAAAATAGCTGGTCAGGTGAAAAGAAGTAACATAAACTTGATAACATCATTCTGTAAGAACACATATTTTTAATAGTGTTTCCAAAGTGCATTCCCTTAAGTTCAGACTTTTCTAGCACACCGTTTGCATTTTATAAATTGACAAGGAAAAATGTGCAAAAAAAATTTTTTTACAAAAATTGTTTTTTAATTATGAGTTAGGGGAATCAGCTTTATGAGTTCAGTTCAGTGACTTGAAATTTTTTTTTAGCCCCTTTCAAATCACCTGAAGCCTTTATAGGTTTTAATAAAAGTTTGTTAAATGACTGTTTGGAAGGGATTTTTTTTTTTCCATTTAACTTGTTTTTGCAGCTCCTTTGCAGTAGTGGTGAGAAAAATCTCACCCTATAATGTTCAATTTCCATAATTATGGTTGTAAGCACAAACAGTGTTTAATATGTTCAGTTCTGTGTTTGGGTTCTTTTTCAAAATGGCAGATCTGGAAGGCAGTTGTTTCTTTTGACTAAATATCTGTAATTCCAAATGTTTTGTCTTGTAATGACTACACTAGACCTTGTCAGATGTTGAATATTGGCTTGAGACTGTTGTCAGGTTTCTGTATAAGACAGGAGTGTGTTCTCTCCCCACTACCCCTCCTCCATAAGCAGAAAACTCAGGTCAGCCGAGATTCTGCCAGAGTCTGTGCCTAAGAGTCGCAGCTTTGAAACTTGGTCATATTGGCAGCTGTGTGAAACCTTCTAGTTTGTTACCTTTGCCATTAGCAGTAGTTCTAGTCCTGATGCTAGCTGAAAGAAGTGGATGGTGTGGCAGCCTAGGTGCAAATCGGCGTGTGCCCTTTGCTGCAGCCATTCCCCTCACTGGTGAGAAGTGCTGGTCCTGTAGCGATCGGCTGTTATCCGACTCCTCATACCTGGGGAGTTTGGCGTCTCCTTACCGCAGAGGAGCGTGGAGAGAGTGTGTGTTACTTACCTGTGTCCACAGGTCTAGATGTGAGACCCCTGCCAGGTAACTCTTGTCAGTTGCTTAGGTAGGAGCTTTTCCATCCTATAATCTCATTGACTTGAACAGTGTGTAGAAAAGTACTTTTCTCGCAAGGTATTGGGACTCTCCTTTTATTTTTTATTTTTTATGATCACACCTTCAGATTGGAGGAGTTACACTAAAAGGCTTTAACGGACCAGCAAAATACTTCATTTTCTGCTTTAATTTAGATTGTCAGTGCTAACCAGGTGCCTAGGACCAAATGCAAATATTTGTGTATGAGTCTTGTAAATACACTTTTCCTCAATCAGTGTTGGACAAGGAAGAAACCCAAATGAGGAGTTACTATGTTGGAATGTTTCTCTGACATGCCTTCTGTGTGTTTCCACATCTTGGGCTGACAGTACATGGATTACTGTTACTGCCTGGAGTGATGGGACTCGTTATGTACCCGAGCAGCACAGATGACATCCAGAAGCCTTTGTTAATGCACTGAGTTCAAATACCATATGCTGAGAAACCTGCAAATTCGGGATGAGATACACCTATCAGTAAAAGTGAAACTCCTGGGGTGAGGATCACAATTGGAAAAGGAACGAAAGTATTGGGATAAAGCATCCATGAAATGCTCCCTACCAACCATTCACTATTACTTCATGCTACATTTGATAATTTTTCTCTTTCATAAAGTAGTAGCATGCCACAGCACAATTTTGATGTGGAGTAAGGCCTGTCAAAATGGGACTTTAAAGGGAGAGGGAAGGAGTGTGGTGTGGTACTTCTGCTTTGGGGATTTTTTTAAAATTGTTGTTGTTTTTCCCAGAAGTCCAATACAAATTTTGTTTTGAAATTAAAAGGACTCCACTTTTGGGCACACAGCTCTGGCTGGGCTGGAGCTGTACTTGTATTTTTGGTCATATCACCTGTTGGTCTGGTTGCTGCTTAGACTGCTAGCTCTTCAGTGTCTAAGCAGCTCTTGTTCCATGCATCTGTATTTTTGTTGTCTAGTGGTGAAATCGTTGTCTATTATCAAGCAGCTATGTCCTCGAAGCAGGACCTGCTGACCATACAGTGGATGTTCACAAAAAAGAAATGATGCCGAAACAATCTGCTTTATAATGAAATAAAGTACATCTTTGGAGCTAATGCTTGGCTTTGGTGCTTTGAATCCTGTTACATTTCTAACACTCGTAGAAGAACGTTACCTGCCTACGAGACTCTGGAAGTCATCCCTCTCAAAACAGCTGTTTGGGGTGTCTGAAATAAAGACAAACTATTTGCTCCAAGGTGTTCTCTCAACAGTAGGTTGCCAAAGTAACAGAACCTTCACCATTCCTCTGGGCTCTCCTGTTCCAGAGGAGCTGCAATTCGCAAGGTGCTGCACAGGTAACTAGAGGGACGGTGAGGGGATGATGCTTCAATCTGACAGCAACTGTTTCCATATGGAATGCAGTGCCCATCTCCTCCTACTGTGACAGCAGTAACAGGATACTGACTGAAACAACAAAACTCAACAGATGATGATATTCCCAATATTGTTTCACCATCTGACTTTTTAAACTTAACTTGGAGTAAAGAAAAATTGTATCTTCCTCCTCAATAGAAATACACTAGTATTTAAAAGCAAATACATTGAAGGTACTGGTATTGGATGCAAAAAGCTCCAAGATTTTTGTCCTGTGTGAAGTCAATTTAAACAAAAGTTTGATTTTTCCTTTGCTGTTTTATTTGTCCAGAGGAAAAGTTGCTTTAATAAATGTGGTTATGTCCTCACACACCATGACAGAAGTACCTGGAGTCTCTAGTGATGGTGAGTTACAAGGCAGCTATGTGAAGGACCAGCACTAAGGCAGAGTCCAAGATCCACTTCCTGCTGGTAGTATGTTGAGTGCAAAATTCTTGACACCACCTTTTCCTCTGCACTGCAGATTTCATGTGGAGGTTTGTGCCACAGCAATAACATGCTGGGTGTCGGATTTTGCCCCTGTTGCCATAACTGAGGAAGCCTTAGAAATCATCTGGTTTACTCTAGTTTGCTTCTTCCTAGGGCCTATCTCTATGTAGTTTTGAGATGGCAGACAAAAGGACTCCCCCATCCTCCCCCCAATTCCTGAAACGTTGCTGTATTTATTTATTTATTTATTTTATTAAAAAACCAAACAACAAAGAAAACCCTGAAGTTTTGATTGCAACTGTGAAGGTTGTTGCTTTACTGTGTGAAACGTTTTTGTGGCTGTTCTCCCTTGAGTTCTGGGGATGACCCTGTACTGTAAACAGGATGATGATGGGTGAAATAGATTTTTTGGGCCATTTTTCAGTAAAGGGGGTGGCCAAAGGTAACTGCTTTTCCCAGTAGTTGTCTCTTGCAGCAAGGAGCAATAAACTTTAGGTGGCCTTCAGTTTTCTCTCAGCTTCGGGCAGGTTTTTGTGAGCTGGCTTTTGCTCCTCGGTCAGCCCCTGCCGCCTGGGTC